TAGAGCTTAGGGTAGTTAGATCAAGGTAAATTGCAAGTCTGCTTCTAAAAGTTGCCACCTTGTCACATGACCTGAGGGTTATTGGTAGTATATTCCACAGATAGCTGTATCCCACTATTCATCTGAATCTATATGCAATAATAAAAAGACTAGCAAAACTTGTTATTTCCATTGGGTACTTAACTAGAATCAAATGCATAGATTACAAGCCTGATTACAAAACGCGTGCACAGCATACTCCAGAGCATGATCATTACTCTTTTGCTCTAATAGGACAATGGAATAGTTTACCGGATGCGAAGCAACTTCTGTGATTCATGTAATTTCTTCTATCTAATCTCCTTCCTGCTACACAAATGACAGAGAAACAGTACCTCAAATAGGCCCCGTCGTCTTTCGCTAATCGAGACAGCTTCGTTTTGCTCGTATGCACAATTGAGCAATTCCCACAATCTATTTTGAACTTACTATGGAAACACGATACACTGATTGATGCAGTGGCATTGTGCTTAGGCTTCCTATACAAGACACGCGTAGACACACGATATTTACATCCTGATTTGGCAGATTCGGGACAGTTAGTCTCTGATTCGGCAAAGTAAGATGGACTAATGTTCCAACACTTCATCAATGTTCACGTGAATCAGTCTGTCGGTTCCCAAGTCGCACATCAAACTGAGTTAGCTGCGTTCATTGCTTTGAATCTAACAGCTCGTTGCATATTACTGGTTGGTAATTCGATAAACCAGTCCCAGACAATAGAAAATGGTCCCTCTGATCCTAATTTGCAGGTCTTTGCTGAGCAGACAAAGGGAAGAGTTTGAGGTATTAATTCAGAAACAGCGAAATGAGCAAGCCGATATTTTGAAACAACAGAAGATGGAGTATGAAAAGGCACAAAATATACTGAAAGCGAAAATTTACGAACTGCATCAAAAGTTGCTGGAAGTGGAGTAAAGAAATATAGCCTAACGAAAGTGAGCCAGCTCGTTGCGTACTAACCGTCGTAAAAATAATCCATGTGCGCTTCTAATGACTAACCCCTCTGTTCGAAAGTTTTGCACAGTAAACTTTATGCATATTGCGAATAAGCCTTTTACAAAATGAGTCACTCGAGTTACTTTCTTTTTCAGATCGTTCTCACCATCAACCTACTGCCTTTCGTCAGCCTGCCAAGGAGTATACCTTCTTCTGCCTAACTTGGAAAACCGACTTGACAGATTTGCATATGTTTCTTTGAAATACATCACCTTCCCTATAAACAAATGTTGCCCATTCTTGTTGTTGTAACCTGCATAAGAACAACGGCAACACGTACATACATAAAGCGCACCTGGGACAGGCTAGTGGTTTACTCAACACACCATACATTTAGTTGTTTTGGTCTTTGCCGAGCTAGGCAACTTGATTACCGCCGTTTCATTAACAAGTGAGGTAACCTCAGTGCAGATGTGATGTCGGCTTCCTACAATGAACTGGCGGCAACTTCTACTACTACACTGCTAGCATAGTTGCACTGATGATATAAACTCAAATAATGGTGAAAATATGCAATCAAATTGCTAAGCTCGGCGAAGTTCACAGCAACTGAACAGGCCTCCCGGGCTACTACAATTTAAAGTAATTTCGAACATTTACTCGATTTACCATTAGCCCGAAATAAAAGAGCATTGTGTTTCTGTTGAACCGCTGGAGTTCCAGATTTTCTCACATAGGGATTTGTTGTAACCTCAGTCTTGAATTAAGTACATATTTGGGCTCCATTCCAGATACGTGCAAGTGATCACCGAATAATGGCCACAAGCAGGACAACAAGTGTTCCACTTTGTTGACGGAGATCACCATTAGGATATGTATGTCGTCCAGTAAATGTAACCGTGAAATGAACTTGTAGTTGGTTATCCGCAGATATTCCAATCAGATTGTCTGATAACACCACTGACTTTCCCTTCAATTTTGCTACCTTTCCGCTTTTTAGCCTTCATATCTGCATTTCTGAACCGAACAAAAGTAACGAATTATCAGATCTTCAAAGTTGCGTAACACGCGGCGCGTAAGCCACAGATCCTCATCAGTTCTCGGCATTTACTTACCCGAAGCTTCGAACGCCATCCAATGGTTCCTCTGGGGACAACATAGCACACACGTTGGAACTTGGATCTAAAGATCTGCGCGAAACACCAAGTGGCCTTCATAATGAGAACGAAGTGGTGGTAGACAGTTACAAAACCCTGTGATTTCAGGAGCAGCTCTGATGGAGCTCAAATCGCAACCCCATTTTTCTCCATCCTAACACATATCAAACCTTTGGGCGCTAAACCCACAGAATGCAGCAATAAGGATATATGGTTGAACGATAACAGAGGCACATGGATGCAAAACAACGCGTGTCACCTACAAAACTTACGCTTCCTTCCCTATTGAATAATTTTTAGCGCATTTTATGGAATGTCGTAACGTGGTTCCTCCTTACTTATGTCAGGTCTGCATTAGTTTATCCGTTATTGAGGGTTGCGAAATAGTGCTCTTTCTCGTTCCGGTTACTGCTTCTTACCAAATGATTGTCCTTTGTAGTGGTTTTATACCCACAAGACAGAACAGGCACGTGATACGTTCTGTGCTTCGTCGCTATCGAACCAATAGAATCTCGTGCCTATACATTTAAAATACTGCCAATTCTGATGTTTCTTTGTAAACCACTCAGTTCTCCAGAACTCACACAGAAATATCGCCATTTATCTTGGTTCAAAGCAATTAAGTAGACTAAACACTAGGGTAAATTATGTTAAGTATATAAGTCTTAGTAGAATACCTGGCAGCTATTCCAAGCTATACTGTAACTGATTACAAGCCGTGGTACAAAGTTAATTACTTAAGGCAAACTGTCTCGTTGTGTTAGAAAGCCGGCAGATGCAATGGGGAATTCTTGGGCCAACAGCACAAGATTTCTCTCAAAGCGAAGGATCGACTTCCTCTGGACCTGCATCTGAAGGGTGGCCGGCTGAGTTTACCCAACGGCGAGAAACTCTTAACTTACCAACCTGTAAAGGGTTGTTTGAACACAATTGCCACAACAACCGTGAAAGTAAATGTCTTTGCCGCCGCAACTGTGCTAATATAGTACAAGTAGGATGGGGGTGTGCTCACTGCAACAGTCAGTAAAATTCGAAGGACGCTAGTGTCTCAAATCCATTCAAACAGTATACCAGATTGCCGGTTTAACTTTGCTTCTGTCCTGAGTGCACGACGGTTCCCCTTGTAATATGTATACTAGTATTTGCACAAATAACGACAGTTTGGTCCTTGAAGCTGTAATTCGTTTACTTGAGAACATTATCTCGCGAGTGCCGACACTACCAGGGTTTTAACTCTGTCTGTCCCCTTAAATCATTACCTCGAATCCAAGTAAAATGTCCAGGTCTTACCAAACGTTAACAGTAGAGAAAACCTTAGAACCCGAGAACCGACTGCTTATCGAGGACGATGAAGCAAGCTCGGCTCCAGCGCCCCTGCTCTCTTGTCCAATACACCGACTAATGCAACCGTGCTAACGTTCCAACTCTCGACTGACAGAGAGAAACCTGACCTTTCTAATGGTTGAACCACGTAGTTAACAGATGTTACGCGATATATTCAAAGTGCGAGTCCAGTAGCTTCAGCCAATGTGTTCACAATATGTGACAAGGGCCAAGCGCAAACTGCAGCAAGGTCGCCAAAGACACTCACTGACGCCACTCACCAGATCACCGAAGGCCAGGAAGTAGTATGATGCATTGACACTCAGTGAACAATGAATACTGATTTATCACGGGTGAAAAGCAGGTACCTGACTATACACCAGTGCTCTTGAGTCTAAGGCAAACTTCTTTGTGGGTAATTAGCAGGACAATCTAAGCCAGTCGAATAGTGATTGCGCTCGGATCGGTGTTTGCGTCAAGCCGGCTAATATGTGCGTCACTTGACGTCCTAACTCTGTGCATTATGTTGTCCCTACTTATACTGCTAACACTGAGAGGTATAAAGAATATCCAGGCCATGCTTCTGTCGGCGGACCGCCTTTGGAGTTAAGACGGTGGGATGCGTATTTATTTGAATGTTCGATACAAACGATCACCATACTGGCAGTAACATAGGAATTATTTTTGTACATAGTGTGCCCGAACGACCGGCAGTTTGCGACCAGGGAGCCCACATTCATGATCTGGAAAATGGCGGTAAAACACTGAAGCCCTTTCTGATTATGATGTCATACCTCAGATAATTGCAGGGCTCCCCACGTCGCCAATCAAGGCAATGATCTAAGGGTAATAAAACTTGTAGTTCAGTCCAGAGCATCGATGTAACCAAAAAACGAATCAGAAAAATATGTGCGCAGACCAGTAGCCATTGAGAACCTTACCGCCGAACTGCATACCGCAGGTGCGAGCAAGGCCAGAAACAGACTGCATTCGAATCGAGACTTGACACTCTACTGTTCACTGATAAACCATCCAAAACTCATTCGGTGCAAGCCTTTTATCGATTGGCATAAATTCACCCACTTACTAAAATCCTTGTCAAAATTTTGACCTTCACAAAGCTATTCTGCAATGAAACCGATGTTCAGCGACTACTTAGCAAATTTTCTAAACCGCCACTTCGTCAGAATGCAAAGGCTATAATGAACACACGGTTGCCTTCCGACAAACGACAATGAAGTCGCGCTGACAAAATCCGCAATGGTACAGCTTCGTTCAGGGTAAACGGACAAATAAGCATTCAAAGATTGCATTTGCTACTAGGTTTGCCCGAAAATCCGAACCCCTATGTGGTACTTGCTTGTTTGCCACAGAGTGCGAAATCTAGTGACATTTGAGCGAAACTGAGGATTTGTGTGCCTTAAATGGCTGAAAGAGCTACGCGCTCTTTTTTGATTCAAGACGAATTGACTTCTTTTGCTGCGAAGTCTTACACAACGACAAGAGTTATTGTGTAAGTTGTGAAAGGAAAATTAATGCATGAGGATCTTCAAACAAAGATAGTTAGTCAGTAGGCTCTTGATTTTCTTGACCTGTCTCCCAAAATATACATAGCTGATATTGTTTCAAGCGCAGAGTTAAGCGAGTACAGATAAAGGAAATACCAACGATGTAGCTGAAATGTATTGAGTAAAATGAACTACTAGCACCCGCTTGCAAGTGCTTGTACGCCAGTGATAAATTACCTAATTTTTAATACTACAACAACGAGGTAGTACTCAGTGAATCCTGTGGGTTGATCAGAATGATAATCACAAAACGAAATATATACATGGCAAAGAGCTAGAGCGTTTGTCGGTGGAAATCTCATATTGACGACAATAAATCAGATGCAAATAAGAAACGCAACTTTTATTGCGAAGGCCAATGAATACAATTTTTGCGTGCACTATGATGTTTTGTAGTTAATACAAGCCGTGCAGGACACTATGAAGGCTTCAGCATGGTTGTTACATTGATCCCATTCCAACTGAATAAATTACCTTACACTCGGAATGCCAACGGCTCTATGAACCCAACCGGTCGAATGATTACCACTCAGTAACATAGATCTCATACGCTCGAGACCCCATTACTGCGCTGCGAACCAGTGAGAACGATTGACCATTAGCGAAAGTACTTGTATTGTCTCACTCAAAGACAACACCGGTTTATGTACCGAAGAATTTGTTGCACAACCAGTTTCCTAATTCGGCTGCCAGTCTAGCTGAGCAAGTGTGCATGGGCTCATCTCGGTTGTGGTGTGATAGAAGTGCCGATATACTTTGACAGGTCACGTGGTGCGTCGTAGTTTTAGGAGATTACAGAATCTTCCCGAAATGCTGTCGTCCCGTCAGTTTTGGAAATCATAAGGTAAATAAATAATTACATAAATAAATAAACGTTTTATTCCTCAGCAGTGCGATGCACAGACCACTTGGGTGGTCTGATCAACATGTACAACGTGACCGCATAATATAGTTAAATATTCGTCTTTTGATCAATGGTTCCCATATGGGTTTTTGAATTGATTAGCAGTTTGGAAAAAGTAGAGAGAAAGAAACTGGGAACAGTAATAATTGTAGACTTCACTGAAAGTTCAAGTAAAGTAATACGGTCATCCATGGAACTGTCCCCAGGGGACTTGCTTCCATGCAGGGTATTTCCACTATGGGTTTCACCCGCACTTCCATGCTCCAATTGGCTCTGGGCCTATGTGGCAAGATAGTAAATAAGCCATCAGAACTAGGTATCAAATGTCTTT